GGAGGGGAGCTGTTGCATTGTGGTAAACTGTGGTCAATGACATGAGACAAAGTGTACGTGAACTGCTGTATGGAAAGTGAATTTGCTCTGTAAATCTTCACCCAAATCACAATTTTAAAAAAAAATTGCTTTGCTGGGTTAGTTTACTATGCAAGCACATCGGTCTTAGGTTTCCATCTAAATTTGTGCTGTCCAATATAGTAGCCACTAGGTACATGTAGCTCGTATACTTCATTAAAAATTTTTTAATGTGGTTCCTCTTTTGCATTAGCCATATTTCAAATGCTCAATAGCTACATACAGGTACCGACTACTATTGTGGACAGCACATATAGAACATTACTATCATCCCAGAAGTCTGGGTGGTACAAATGGTTAACACACTCAGCTATTAACCACTAAAGACTGGAGGCTCAAGTCCACCCGGAAGTGCCCTGGGAAGAAAGTCCTGGTGATCGATTTCTAAAAAGTCAGTTATTGAAGACCCTCTGGAGCACAGTTCTGCTCTGACAAACATGGAAACACCCAAAGTCAGAATCCATGGGACAGGCACCTGGTTTGGTATCATCCCAGAAATCTCTGGGAGTGCCCTGAACACAAAAACTGGATTTTAGGCTTTTTCCTATTTCATGCAATGAAAATAGTACTTACAGCACCTCATAAACAATGAATGTTCAAAGAATATTTAATAGAGTTATGAAAAAAAATTAAAATGACTTGCTGGATAAGAGAACTTTGACATGATCCTAATTAAATAGTGAACAATTATCTGCCACAATAGCACAAGATCTATATATTATGCTAAAGCCTGTCCCTGGGTCAAGTCTTGAGTTATTACACTCATGTGACCAACATCTTTTCTATGAGAAGCACAGGGATTCATGTTAAGTCAAATACTCAACTACCCAATGACAACTACGTACCAGACTCTGTGCAAGGTGATTTTCCTGTGTTCTCATCAGCCTCACGGGATCAACAGGAAAATGAAGCTGAGGAAGGGTAACTTATCCACACCTAGCCTTAACATAAACCACGTCTTATCCCACTGTATCTCTGACTCCTGGCCAGATATTTTTAGAGAAGCAGAGTCAACATATTTAATAATGGAGTAGATGCTGTCCAATAAAATTACAATCGACCTTGTGTTAGGGGAAAAAAGAAACAAGAAAAAAACAATTAAAAGACTTTTTTGTAATACTGAATGTATAATCAAATACTAACTTTCAAGATAAATAATGCCTTTTTCCCCCTCCCTTCTAATCAGAAATACAGCTTCTTTATTTTGGAAAAAAAAAGTGCTAGATTAAGGGAAGAAGTAAGGGATATTCTGAAAAACCCAAATTATAAAACTTTCTAAAAGATAAGTATATTATTGAGAATATTGTCATTATAGGGAATATCTACTAAAATATAGCTTAAAAATTAATATTAAACAATGAAACAGTGAGTTAAGGCAATTAAATGTTTTAGACCTATTTTATGGATCATTATTGCAAAGTGTGCCCAATTTATTTAAAAAATCTTGAATAATGATGCTAAAGCTTATTAGTTATTATATATATTGAAAGAGAGTACATTAACGAGGTTTCTCTGTAAAAATATGATTGGGGGGGCATTAAAATCCTTGATGAGTTTCAATAAATGTGATGTGGAAGAATTAGAATCTGTTCCAAACTGCACTGTGTCAACCTGCCAAGCCAATGAACACTAAATCTTAGGCAAAATAAAAATGCCTTTCTAGATCACCTCAAAAAGAATCTGATCTTAGGTAGACTAAAAGGGCATCTTTATCTTTCAACTAAATTCTAACGTCTGCTGTACATTCTTCAAGAAAAATAACATCAATAATGACAAAACAGGCCCTTCGTTTGTCCAATTTTTTTTTGGAGGATGTCTCTTATTTGCACTAAGGCTTCCATGCTCAAAGAGGGACTGAAAGACTGATATACAACAAGGCATCAAAGCATTCTTTAGAAGGCCCAGTAACTACTACGGTTACTGCCAGGAAATCATTCCAAGCACTCATTTTGAAAAAAGCAGCAGTTGTAAGTGTATAAGCGTCAAGGAAGTGAATGCAGACAGAAGTGGCAGGTGTGTTCTGGGGCCAGGAGTGTTGTTTTTTATCAGGCATATTGCAGACCTTCAATTATGTGCCACAAGGGAGCAAGGCATTGACGGCTTCTTAATTCTTTCATGATCATCATCTTAGAGGAAAAGAATCTTTTGTTCAGATGTAAGCTTGGCACTTCTTTGAGGCAGAAAAGCCAAGGAGTTAGAATGCTTAAAAAAAAAATTCACGTGTTCCCCAGAAAGAATAAATGCAAAACTGAATTTCATGTTTCCTTTTCTTGGAGAGGAGGAAGGGAAAGGAGCTACAATTTTGCAACTTTGTTACTTCTTTGTATGTTTCAGCTAACCCCTCTTTTATTAGCTTCCTTTTCACTAGTTAAGGAGCCCTGATTAGTTAGAGCCTGGCGCAGTGGATAAGCGCTCAGCTGCTAACCGAAAGGTCAGAGGTTGGAACCCACCAGCTACTCCGCGGCAGGAAGATGTGCTAGTCTGCTTTGGTAAAGATTTACAGCCTTGGAAACTCTATGGGAGTAGTTGTACTCCGTCCAATGACTTGGGATCAATTGCATGGGCAACGGGTTTTTAGTTTTCATTGTTGTTGTTGTTATGTGCCGTCGAGTCGGCCCCGACTCATAGCGACCCTTCCTTGGGTTTCCGAGGCAGTATCACTACGGAAGTAGGATTGCCCAACCTTCCTCCCGAGGAGTGGCTGGTGGGTTTGAACCGCCAGCCGTCTGGTTAAACAGGCAAGTTTAGTTTTCATTAGTTAAACAAAATTTAGCAAAGGTGTCAGAAAGCATAGACTGATTCTTCCAGGATCTTCCCAGAATACTCTAAGTAAAATGGAATGGAAGAAGAGATGCATGTGTCAGTCCCGTAGGGTTCTGCTTAAAGAGCGCAGGACTGTTTGGATTAAAATGAGTTAATAATGTTCCTTGCAACTATGGATCAGCTAAAGCTAAAAAGTGTCCGGGTTTCTTCCACTTTACACCAGTCTCACACTGTGTCTACAAAAGGTACACTGTTGAGAATGTTCTGTTCACCTTCAAAACAAAACCGTTTTTCAACTAAATGTTCTTACAATCTCGTGACAAGTGAGGTGAAGTCAAAAGCAGCCTCAGACAATCTTTAGAAGGTAAAATAACCTGAGGGTTTTGGGGCCATCACGAATAAGATGATCGGTAATCCTCTCTTACTAAAGTCCGGGGTGAACCTAAGAGTTGCGTTACAAAGCACACAGTCCCAGAGTCTGTGTGCGCCCGTGTACCAAGAACGGAAAGATGGAGAGAAACCGCTGAACTCTTTCGAGTTTCAAGAAGTCCTGGGAAGGGATGGGAAGGGATCGCAAATCAAAGTCGTTCTGTTCTGATTTTTCGAGGTCACTTCTAGGGACTTGCCCGCGACCTCCTTCAGTTCTCGGAGCCGGTGGTGGGTAGTGGCCCAACCGTCCCGCCCGAGCCTCGCTCTTCCCCCCTTCGGAAGGACGCTGGAGGCCAGGTCGCGCGCGGTCCGTCCGCCGCCCGAGGTCTCTTCCAGGCTTGGCCCCGCCCCCCACCCGCCTAGCCCCGGGCCCAGCTGGCCCCCCGCCCCTAACGCCCCAAGGAGCGACGGAGGCGCGGGTGCCGCCAGCGCTCGACTCACATATGTGGGTTCCTCCTGAAGGCGTTGGTGATGTCCTTCACCACCCGTTGCACCAGCACCGCCACCTCCTCGCTCGTCTCGGCCATGTTGGCGGCGGCTGGGGCGCGCCTCGGGGAGATCGCAGAGCCACCGGCAGGAGTTGTGCTGGGAGCGCGCGCGTGAGCGCCGGTTTGGCCGCGCCCCCGCCGCGGCCGCGGCCAGCGAGCACTTCCGGGTCAGCCTGCAGGCGGTCGGAGTGTGATTCCTTTTGAGACTGGTGATCCTCCTTAGTCCAGGGTTGGTTGCTGGCAGGAGTGCATAGTGGCTCGAACGGGGATTGAGTCCCATCCTGGTGGCTCTAGGGGTTCTAGGCGGGTGCAGGGGCGCTCGAGGACCCCGCCTCGTCTTGGTGTCCCCGTAACCGAGTTTCTAAACGTCCGAAAATTAGCAGTAGATTCGCTTAAAAAGTAACCCCAGGCCGCCGTTTTACATACATATTTTTTCCCTTTTTCCCCAGCAGGCTCCTCGACACACACGCCCAGACCCAGGGCGTGACATCCCCGGTCACCCATTCTCAGCTGTTCAGGGGGAGGCCAGGCCCGGGAGCTTTGGGAGGAAGGTTTTAACGGATGTGCTCCTGAACATTTAGTCCTTTGGCATGTTAAGAGTTCGCTTATTTTGAAAGGGTTATGTATGGAACGAAACTTTCTTTGTTGGTTACCAGGGGTGGGAGGGGAGGGGAGAGAACACTGAAGACAAAAAGAAATGCATTGACCCTTATCACTTAAGTGATAAAAAAAACTCACTGCCGTGGAGTCGGATGCGACTCATAGCGACCCCTTCTTGGGTTTCGGACTCGGTATCACTACGGAAGTAGATTGCCCAACCTGTCTTCTGAGGAGCGGCTGGTGGGTTTGAACTGCCAGCATTCTGGTTAGCAGTCAAGTGCCTTAGGCACTACACCACCAGAGTTCCTCATATCACTTTAGTTTTGTGTATGTCACTGTACAAATATTTCAATAAAATGTATTTAAAAAAAAAAAAAAAGTTTGCTTATTTTCCCAACAGAAGGGATGACGAGGTCGAGACGGTGTTTGACCATGTTGGTGACCTATTTTTGTACCTGTGTGCCAATTTCTGCTTCTCAGTGGCTGGTTTCAAAAAGTTTATAAAATCGTTGGAAGAATGTAATCAATGTCACTGAACTGTACATGTAGAAATTGTTGATATATGTTCTGTGTATATTCTCAACAAGAAATACATAAATCATTTTAAAAATTAAGAAAAAATTTTCAATTAATGCATTAAAGAAAAAAGGAAAGTTATTTGGCGTCTGGATATAAGGAGATCACAAATATTTTTTAGGTTTTCTACTTCAAGTGCTATTCATTTTGCACATTTGGTGTCCCTTGAATGCTGTGTGTCCATTTTGGAGTAAAAAACTCAAGGCCTTGACATGTTTTGCTCTTGAAAGCTATATATTTGCTGCAAATAAATTCTGAGTTTTCTAGTACATTTGTATTTTTAAATGCCATGATTAACTTTTTCATATTTAAGGTTTCTCCTTTCCATGATAGAAAAATCTGATGTCCTTTGCTTCCATTCTCTTTTATTCCACTCTTGAAGTCTGTGTCTTTTAAATTAAATCATTTTAAAACAAACTCATGGTCTGTTTAATGTGCACATACATGACACATTTGAAGTAGGGCTTGTATAAGAGTAAAAGCCTTCCATTTGAAACTCCAAATCTGGGTCCAGGTTCTGTTTGGCATGCTCAAAGACTCACAGACTCAGGTTGAGGCAAGGAAGAAATTTTATTTGGAAGGCCAACATGAAGGAACACCCGGGACTGCTGTTGCCAATGGAGTTCAATAAGGCTTCAGGTTGCTTTTCCTTTTAAGCTTGTAGCAAATGGGGAAGTTAGGATTATTCATAACATTTCTGGGGAGGGGTCATGATTATGGATTAGAGGACAGTTTCATAGCTTGGCAAGGAAGTAGCTGATGGACCCCTCACTTCTGAAATGTGTCATACAAATAATGTAGTTCCAGTGATTTTCAGGTCCTTGACATGAGTTTTAGTGTTCCAGGGTCAAATAAAAGTGTAAAATTGTTTTCTTTGCACATGTGCGCCTTGGTCAGGCCAGGCTTCTTGCATTAACATGGGAGCAGGTGCCAAGCAGATCCTGGAACAAAACGAAAAAATAGTTACTAACCTATTCACAAAGGAGTAATTACTGAAATCTTTCACTGTCAATCTAAAGCAATTTTTCAGTCAGCTCAAAGCTCTCCAGTGGTTGTCTAACTGTATAAAGGATTGAAAGAGAAATATAAATTAACTAGCCCAGTGGTCCGCATTTCCTGGATTTAGACATTGGTCTTCTGGCTTTTAGAGAAAGAAGTAGAAGTTAGACAGAAAAACAAGGTTTTTGCAGAAAACTAAGACAGGTTTAGGAGCTCTGGTAACATAATGCCTAAGGCACTTGACTGCTAACCAGAAGGCTGGTGGTTCAAACCCACCAGCCACTCCTCAGAAGGAAGGTTGGGCATTCCTACTTCCATAGTGATACTGCCTTGGAAACCCAAGGAGGGGTCGCTATGAGTTGGGACCGACTCAATGGCAAATAAGAACAACAACAAGAAGACAGGTTTAAGAAGAATTCATAAAATCAAACCCTTTCTGCCAGGATGGAGGGCACAAAGTGGCCTTAAATGACAATGGTGCAGTGAGTTATTTAGTATGGCTCTTCTAGCCATGGTCTTTTGTGATACCCACCAGATTACTGGGTGGAACTGTGCATATGTACAGTGCTTTGTGGTCGGCCAAAGGTATTGGATAGCTTTAGTAATGTAAATAAGGCACATGACACCCTTGTGGGGGTTGTTGTTGTTGTTGTTATGTAGGGGTGGGGCTGTGCAAATAAGGTATATGAAACTCTAATGTGAGGGTTGGTTAGTTTTGTTATTCTGCCAGGCTTAAAGGAGTTCTGGTGGCTTAGTGCCTAAGGCATTTGACTGCTAACCAGAAGGCTGGCAGTTCAAACCCTCCAGTCACTCCTCGGAAGGAAAATTGGGCAATCTATTTCCATAGAGATACCACCTCAGAAACCCAACGAAGGGTTGCTATGAGTTGGATCCGACTCGACAGCAGTGGGTGGGCCAGGCTTAAGTGAGTCCTCCTAGAGGCAGAAGGGGAGATCTCACAGCCATCAAGAGAGAAGAGCCAAAGGTGGACTGGAGCACATCCTTGGGCCCAAGATCCCTGCACTAGACCTTGGTAGAGAGACAGTGGCAGTGGGACCAAGAGGCACAAGACAGTGGTGGGCTTGCTGGCCCGCAAAGTAAGAGAAGTTGAGTGTCTTTGATCAGGAGACTTACTGGCAGAATGGGACGCACTTAGGTGTACATATCAGCAGAGCTAAAAGAGCTTTGTACTGCTTGCCTGAGCAGGGCAGAGGCCAGGCAGACAGGCCAAGGGCCAAAGAGAGGCATGCCTGAGGGCATGGCCAAGGGGAGGCTGTCTGATGGAAGAATTGTATCCTTAGCACATTCCTGAACCTGAATTGTATCCTGTTACTACCCTAATAAACCCCATAATCATGAGTATTGTCTGAGTTTTGTGTGGCCGTTGCAATGAATTATGGAACCCAGCAGAGAAATAATGAGTACCGTGGGAGGGATGGCTGGTGATAGAATTGGTAAAAAGGTGGAGGACAGTGGCCCGTCTGGTTTCATAGGAATAAGCTTTGGGCTGCTGGTGGTGATTCTGTATCACACTCATGAAGTTAGAGGTCAGAGGAGGATGCCACCTCCCCCGTCCTTTTTGCAATGAGCAAAAACCAACACCAAACCCACAGCTGTTGAGTCGATTCTGACTCATAGAGACCCTATAGAGTCTAACTGCCCCAGAGGATTCCCAAAGCTGTTTGTCTTTACGGAAGCAGACTGCCACATGTTTCTCCCACAGAGCAGTTGATGGATTCAAACCACAGACCTTTAGCAGCTGAGTGCTTAACCACTGAGCCACCAGGGCTCCTGTTTTATTGACCCAAAAACCAAACCTACTGCTGTCAAGTTGATTGCAACTCATAGTGACCTCCATAGGGTTTCCAATGCTGTAAATCTTTACAGAAGCAGACTGCCTCATCTTTCTCCCATTGAGTGGCTGGTGAGTTCAAACAACTGACCTTTTGGTTAGCAGCTCAATGCCTTAACCATAGTCCCAATAGAGCTCCTTGTTTTAATGACAGGTCTAGTAATTTTGTGCAAAGTTGCAAAGGACCTTGTAATCTGCTTGTCTTCTCTCTGTATTATTCTACTTACATCCCTATGTGTTCACCCTACATTTTTCATCCCTATTAGGAGCTCCAGTGGTGTAGTGCCTAAGGCATTTGATTGCTAACCAGAAGGCTGGTGGTTCAAACCCCTCAGCCACTCCTCAGAAGGAAGGAAAATTGGGCAATCTACTTCCATAGACATACCACCTCAGAAACCCAAGGAGGGGTTGCTATGAGTTGGAACTGACTCGATGGCAGTGAGTTTGGTTTTTGGTTTTTATGATGTATTCACTCTACTTTTTTGTATTTGATGTCTCATGGTAACATTATGCAATGCAGATTTGAACTCTTCAGGTCCACTTATACATGTATTTTTTTTTTCCAAGATATGAGTCTTGGAAAAATTCAAGAGCTAATAAACACCACACCAGGGGAATTAACAGAAGACAACTTGATGGAGATGAGTGCTTCTGAACCAGTGCTAGACAATGAGGAAGAAGACACAGAAGAAACAGTGCCAGAAGACAAATTGACATGAGACCATCTGGCAGAAGTATACCTTGAGGGTATACCTACGAATCTCCTGGAAAGATTCACCCTCCTCTTGCTCCGGTTTGTGTTTTGGCTCTTCCTCATTTCACCCCTGGATTTGGGACAGTAGCCGTCATCTGATCTGCTGATCGAGGTTCATCAAACCCTGAGAATTGGGAGGATCCCCCAGACCCACTCACGGACTGGGGACTCGCCATCCTGACAACCTCCACCACTACTATGTGAGACGATCCCTTGGGTGTCTGTGAGTTCTGTGAGGCGTTATAGCAAAATACAGAA